GTCGTGCTGATACGGACACCACGAATACACTCCCAGGGAATGAGGAGTCAAACAAACATGTTAGTAAAGCTGCGTAACAGCAGCATGGGCCAGGTGGGGCACAGGCTTGCTACGTCCGTAGGCAAAGAGCTACGCACGGAATACAAGCTACACTGCAGGGAAGTGGTGGGCTAGTGACGGTCACGAAGATTCGCAGATCGATGGGCAATCGCCGTTTTATCGGACGTCTTCGATCCCGCTTAGCGCGGCGTTTGTCCACGTACCCGAAACCTGTAGGGGTGGCAGCACATACTGCTCTGTCCACATTTCATCACAGTCCAGGAGGCCTCCCTTCAGTCACCCATACACCTTCCGGTTCCTAATAATAACCAGAACGGCACACAACAAACGCTCAACATATCTGACCCCATATACACCACATTTGGCCATTTCAACAAAAGGAAACATTCATGCATCCATATAGAACATCAATAGGTAGAGACAGCAAAACTGATTTATGTACGATGCCTTTGTGCTCACAATACAGACACCTCTAACAGGCCAATAGTCCACTGCTTCACAACGGCACATTGGGGCAGTTCATACTTGCTGAATCCACAAAGCCGAGAAGCGGGGAAACCCACACGTGAGGCACTCGCCTCGCCTGCCATGCAGAAGGGAAGCTTTGTGATGGATGATGCACGGAATTGGAATGGGTTGTTCAGGGCGCACGTTAGGGAAGACGGCGGCGGCATCGGTGGTGTATAAGTAAACCCCAAAACTGCAGAAACTCCCAGACATCGAGAGACCGTCAGCAGACGATTTGGGTCCTCTGCGGTGTCGCCCTCATCCCCTAGCATCTGGTCTTCGGCGTGTCAAGCTAACATGCATTTGGAGCTTGACCTACTGGAGGAAGGCAGTCAATCAGTCTGCAGCCACGTCGGCCGTCCGAATCGCAATCGAACGCCAGTATCAGCAAGCGCGTCAGAAGCGGGCTGTTTAGTGGCGTGTGTTGGCGAAATTATCCAAGGGAGAAGATTCCGTGGGAACCGCAAAACAAGTATATATTGGTATGGTATCTTCTTGAATCATTCTCACCTTCTGTTGCGTGATCGTGGATGCAGCAGGCACCTTCGCAGGGTGGCCCAATGCCTGAGGGGCACACGCGCTAAAGCATAAGTGGCTGTGCTTGCATGTGTTCAAAAAAGCCCGTCGTCCGCTAAGGTATTGTGGTAGATTGAAAGTAGCAGCCTTCAGCGCACCCCGCAACCCTCGAACCCCGTCGTAGGGCACCAAGTCAATGGAACACACCATCTGCTCTCCACGACGGGCAGTGTAAAAACGTCAGTTAAAAGGACACCTAAAACTGCTTTCGGTGGTAAACAGGAGTTTGGTTCCTGGGCGGAAACCGATTTGGCGAGACAGCTGTATAAGATAACACACTATCTGCCCACG